GCTGGATTAAGAAATTATGGGATAGATTTATGGAAAGACACAGGAGTTGCCATAGAGATAGGAGCTGGCCTTTTGGGAGAGAGGAGGTTTCTGGGGATAGGGATCCTATTCCCTTATATTCAGGTACAATTCAGCACTGTCATCAAGCACTTCTCAGGTGTAGACTCAGTGAGGAGCACAAGGTTTGGGATGGCTAAGAGATGCAGGACAGACTCTGGTCCCAAAGACTTCGGTCCAATTGGAAAAACAAATTAGAATCACAATTCTAAGAATCAAAGAGACAATGCAAGAGACAATTTTTTTCACAGTATTTTGTAAATCAGTGCCCACTGCGTGTGAGCCTTAGATAAGAGTACATTTGCCTCCCAAGAAGTCAAGCTTTCCTCTCTGGTGTTTATCCTCTAATCCTGTTTTGTCTTAAGGCCTTTCTGTGTTCAGAAATAATTCCACACCACATTTCTCTTTGACCCTCATACAAACCCCATAAGATAGGCAGATGGGTCACATGATGGATCTGCTCTTCACATGGTGCAGATGAGAAAATTGGAGTTCAAAAATGCTAAATGGCTTCCAATCATTCTTTTAGACTCCCCACCCCTACTTCTTTGCTTAGAAGTCATACAAATGTGACAGCTGCCATAAACTGGGTAATTGGATAAGGGATATGATTTCTAGAAGACGGAATGTGACTGTACTGTCTCCTAGGCCTTGCTAGGCTTTCTGGATACCCATGTTCCCCCTCTATTAGTTTCTCAGAGGAGTGTCCCACTGAACAGCGTGTTACAGCAACTTCCCCCATGACACTGGATGTTTCTAGGCTGTTAGAGCGACAAGGTGGGCTCATCCTCCTCCCTATGTCTCTGTTCACCTCTTGTTGCCCATCCCATCCTCTCTGAGTAGCAGGATGAAAGGGAACACAGGGCTCATGAGAGATAGATAGGTCAAGCTTAGGAGCTCTTGCCCTAGAGAAAAACAAAGCGTGGCAGGTGGTAGCAGAATGCCATGGCCCAGGGAGGTGGCTAACTTTGATCTCCTGATTCTTTAAAAGGGTTTATTGACTATCAGTAAAGAGCAGAGGAGCAGATCTGAGCGTGCCTTATCCAAAGGCACTCACTTCTTTTCCTTTCCTTCCACGCTCACTCATCTGAAGGCTTGGCCAAACCGCCCTCACTTCAAATAGCCTTACATCTCAGGCGCCCAAATTGACGATGTTAAGTTCCCTCATCCAAGGCCTTGGCCCTTTCTTCAGGGTCTCCTGCTCTGTTGAGGGCCATGTAGATCAAAGCCCCTTTGATGCTTACTTACTATATTTGTGGATCCTTTCTAACAACCACCTAATTGCAGCATGTCAGGAGGGGGCCGACGGAAGTACAAGCTGTGAGGAGGCGCTGAGCTCCAGCGAACAATAGCCTCTTGCCTGAGACGGTATTGAAACCTTAACATGCTGATGACAGGCAGAGTTCGACAGCCCATTATAATTGCTAGTGGATGATACAATTGCTGACGATTCTTCTTACATTTTCCGTTGACTTCTCATGTCTATCTAAAGCACATCAGCAGTGGTTCCTAGTGAGAAAGGGAGCCTGGGTTCCTGGACTGAGCTCAGCAGGAGCCCAGGGGAGCACTGGGGCATGGGGGCAAAAGGTGCTGGATGAATTTAGGCCAATGTTCGTGTTGATCTTTCTGGACAGTCCCCTAAATTCCCAGGGAAATGGAGGAGACATAGTTCTCCTAAATATTTAGAGACTGTAGACAACCTGTTGAATCCAGATTATCTATGTGGGCTGTCTCTGCCACCTCAACTCATCTTATGTCAACATAATAGGTTGCCTGCCCCGCAGGGTGACTGCTGGAGCAAAGAGCCCCCAAGTACAGTTATTATAAGTTAAGAGCCTCACTGACCATGTTTGATTTCTGCAAATGACCAGGAAAAGAAGTTTAAAAAAACCTGATTAATAAAAGAAATGGAGGACGAGGCAATTTCTCAATGTATTTGGCTCATTTAATTTGACACGTGTGGGTTAGTCTTAATTATTTAGGCAGCTACATTACAAGGCGCTAATAAGTACACTGAAGAAATTTATTAAGTGAGAGGACTCTCTGACTGAGTCTTTACTGAGAAGTGGGGAGAAGCCACTGGGATTGTTGCAAGAACAAGCAGGTTGGAGGATTAGTGAAGTGAGAATTAGCTAGCTATCTATATACTAAAAATTGAGATATTTTTTGGAGCAATTCACCAGAGCTAAATTAGAGGTCATTGGGTCCATGTGAAGAAGCAGGGCTGAAGTGGGGTGGGGGTGGGAAGGAGGATCTTGAAACACGGGTGGGAAGGTGGGGTATTTTCAAAGATACTGGCCAGGGGATACTGGCCAGAGAGAACCAGGGGAAGCAGGAACTAACTGCTTTGGGTTAGGGAAAGTCCATCAAACTAGACTAACCAGGCTCTTAGGGGAGAGATGATAGAATGTGACAGGAATCTTCACTTTGTGAGCTAGACCAGCCACCAGAAGGCCACTTTCATTGTCACATGGCCCTGGATGGATGATGGAGTCAGATCACATATGCCCATTTTAGAACTGCAAGATGATGGGATCTGCTCTTCGTAGACTTTGGGGCTGCAGCCTTTGGCTGAGCGATTATCAGTAGCAGAACCATCAGTTGCACCAAAGGTGTCCATGGAAAATTGATTAATGTGAAACAAGTTGTCCTGGCTTAAAACGAGAAATCACGGCAAAGAAGACCAGAGTCACCTGCAGAGGGGGGTGTGGAGGGCATTGTCTTAAGAGAGCAAATACTGCTGTGCAAGAAAATATTTATTGGGAAAGGAGATGTTTCTTAAGGAGAAGGGAAGATTTCACCGCAGGAACTCCTGGCCTCTAATCTGTGAACAGGTCTAGATTGTGCCTTTAAAAAACAAACAAACAAACAAAAAAACAAACCTCTGAGCCCCTGGTCACATGCTTAGTGTCTGGCACATAGAAAGTGCTCAGGAAGTCTGCAATTTAATGAAAGGGCTGACTAAAAAATATTGAGTAGTGATCAATTTTCCCCTACCCAGGTCAGACTAAAATCAGACGGGCTTCAATGTGGCACAATGGATTGTTTTAGGTGAAGATGGTTGTGGAATGAATGAAAGTTGTACTTCATTGGAACAGGAGTCTAAGAAACATGAGATTTCCTCTTGGGAGAAATTAAAAGCTTCATAAGTGAATTGGTTTTCCTTTGTTTTCAGAGGATGAGGATGGCACTTTTTCTAGCCTTAGGGTTTCTTTATTCTTACGAGTAATAACAATGATACAGTGATAATACTTCACATTTGTGAAATACTTAATTTTTTCATGATCTTGTCATATTCACTATCTCATTAGATGTTCACAGTAGCTCTGTGAAGTAGGCAAGGCAAAAATTATTTCCCTCATTTTGGTTTCAGAATATGAGACTCAGAGAAGTAAAAAGACAATTAAAGACCAAAGCGCTAGTGGGTAATAGTGCTCAGGCTGGAATCCAGGACTTAGTTCTCTGGCTTAGTTCTCAGGGTGCAGTCTGGGATCCCAGAGCTGCCGATTCTGTGAATGAAGACAGACCTGAGAATAGACAGCAGAGATCAGTGGTCCTGGCTGGGACAGGGGGTGGAACTGTGTCCCCCTCAAATCCTAAGTTGAAGTTCTAAACCCAGCACCTTAGAATGTGACTTTATTTAGAGATAGGAACTCCACAGAGGTAATCAAGTGAAAATGGTCCTTAAGGGGGTCCTGCTCCGGTATGACTGGTGTCCTCATAAAAAGAGGAAATTGGAGACAGACACACATAGAGGGAGAATGCCATATGAATGTGAAGATGGCCATCGACAAGCCAGAAAGAGAGGCCCGGTACAGATTCTTCCCTCATAGTCTGCAGAAGGAACCAACCCTGCCAACCTCTTGATCTTGGATTTTCAGCCTCCAGAACTATGAGACTATGTACCCAGTCTGTGATACTTTGTCACAGTAGCCCTAACAAACTAATATAGACAGGAAGTGGGGAGGAGCTGGTCTCTCTTAGGACCTGGTTGTTTCCATTGGCCGCAATTCTTTGAAGCCGACCCCTTAGGTCCCAGAGTTGTCTGCAGGGACTTGCAGGGCAGCATCACATGACCACTCAAAAGTCTCATCATGGGGCACCAAATGACCAGAGAATAGCCAGTAGGACTGCTAAATGGGACAGTGGGGGTGGTCAGCACAAGAGATGACAGGAAAGAGGGGAGGTGAGGAAGGAGGGCTGGCCATGTGTCTGCATGCTTAGGAGCTCTCTGTGGCAATCCAGGATGACTTTAGCATTCCTGATGCCATTGTGAGGAATATGTTGACCAGGATAGTGCTTGCTTATTGCCCTAGCCAGAAACTACTGAGCTCTGAATAACTGGTTAGAGCTGGTGACAGCGACATGTGCTAGCTCCTACTACCCATTTCT